CTGCTACAAAATTTCATACCTAAAACTCGACAATTTTACAAAGTATAACATCTGTGACTGATTTAGCAAATATATACACAAAGAATATTAGAAAATACAGTGATACCTTGGTTCATGGATGCTTCTGTTTGTAAACAATTTACTTCACAACAAAAGCATCTGGCACCATTTTGCTTCCAATCACAAACTCCTCACTGGGTGACAAATATGACCACATTCATCTTCCCCACACATATACAGCCATTTTCCTCAAAATCATAAAACAAATTCATACACTTAGGTACCACTGTACTAAACTGATGACTCTAACTATGATACAGTGAAGTATTACACAAAGCCACTACTTCTGATACTTAGGGAATACAGATCATGTACTGAACAAGGGCCTAAAGAATTAGCCAGGCAATTTGGAATATTTAGAATGTTGCTATGTATATGGTACTTTTTCCTGTTCTTTGTAAAGTCTTATAAAAAGGGAGAGAAAGGAAAACAAGCTAATATTGAAAAGACAGAAGCCCTTAATAATAGTCTGGGGAACAGATAAGACTGTAGCTCCTATTCTTTCTGAGGCAATTGATGGAAAGACAGAAATAAAAACCTGTTTTTTTAAAAAAAAGATTACGAAAGGGGAAAATGGGTCAATTGGCAGCAATAATCAGCCTCTCCAAGATCCAGAACTCTTACACTAGAAAATAACAACTTGGCTAATAAAAAAAGAGAAGTGCATCATTAAGTACTTGAGAAAGAATTGACAGGAAAAATTAGAAAGCTAGAGTTGCTCAGAAGAGGACCATTACACAGAGAAAAGAATGAAACAAACTAGATCCTACATGGCTTATGGCTCACAGGAAGTAGAACATGGCTACCCAGAAGTAAGAGCTCCCAGCGGTACCCTCCCAGAGACTGGGTGACAGCCATAGGAGACAGCCACAAAAAGGGCTAGAAAAAATCCAAGAAGCTTAAACTCAGGCTGGGAAGAGCATAGGCACCACCGCCAAGGTGGGAAGTTAGGCATGAGTACTTGACCTCTTGCCCAGAGCCAACATCCAGCACAGATGGGAGGTCCCACTAACTTCTCTATCTACCAGTATGAGCGGACACAATGCTACAGCCTGGGATAAACAGAAGGAACTCTGAAATAGAGGGTGCACCTCACATACTCACAGGCTATATGGCTAGGCCAAGACAATCACAGCACGCTTGACTCTAAAACTCTGCGTCCTGGAAGAAAATCATGCTCCTTTTTTCATCAGCTTATTAGGGTTTAAGGAACTTTTATTTATTCTTTTCTTTTTGTTATTCCTTTTTTATTCTTTTCATTTTTTTCCTCCCTCCTTTTATCTTTTATTTCTCATTTTTTCCCTCTTTATCAAATCTAGAAATATCCTTTTACTCCTGTAAACCTTTATGTGATTTTTCTCTCTTTCTCCTTATTCCCCATTGTTTTCTTTTTCTTTATTGGCCTTTTGAGACAGAGCCTCCATACATAGTTTAGGATGTTCTTCACCTCACTGGGATTAGAGGTGTGCGCCACCAAACCAAGCTTCCACCGTTTAACTTCACAAATTTTTCTTCTTATAGTCTCCCATTCTCAACCCTCAATGTCTTTAATAATATAACCAATATGTTTTATTCATCTTTAGACCATTAAACTGTTACTATTGAATTTTATCATTATAGTTGTCACATTTAAAGTAAATATTTGCTGTATGTCAATATTGGCTTATAGCTTTCTTTTCTAAGGTTAACCGTGGTATAGTAAATTTCTTATGGTATGTCAACATACAGTTTGTTTCAGACGATATTACTGTGCTAATGTATTTGATATTATCAGGATTGGTTGTTATTTCATAGTGTTACTTGTTGATACTAATAGGTTTTCTCTGTATGGCAATACTCAGATTACCTTTGTGACATTAATAGTACTGTGGTCCATTCTCAGAGAGCTGGGTTTTGGGCCAATTAAACTGTACCCTCTTCTCCCAGATTAAAAGGTGATGGTGTCCTGGGACACAGACTCGCCATGCCCTGGGCGCATCACTGAAAAACATGAGGTCTCCATAGTAATAACACTATCTTTCTACTATGTGATAAAACAGACCTAAAACACAACATAGAATAAACAAACAAATGCAGAAACATGAGAAATAAAGACAACAAAATGCCTTCCTAAACTCCCAATTCCCTCAAAGCTAGCCCACAGTGCATTAAGGAGATGGAAGCAAAAATCACTAAGTCAAATTATTTGAAAGAATAAAAGAAGATTAAAAAAAAAAAAAGACCAGTAAGGAACTAGGTGAGCTGAAGATCTAACCAAACAGATAATTCATGTTATAAAACAATATGGTGGTATACACCTATAATCTCAGCACTCAGTAGGCTGAAACAGAAGAACTGCTGTGATTTTTGAGATCAGCCTGGGCTACAAAGTGAGACCCTTCCTTAGAAAATAAATGACTGAAACCAAACAAAAAAACTTAAAGAGTTCATGAAAAGGTCCCAAACAAATCCAGAAAATGACAAATTATATTTAAAGTATGGGCAGCAGAAGCAACCAATAGGAGGACAGAATATCAGAATTAGAAGATAATAATGCTTCTAAAGACCAATTACTCAGTTATGTTAAAAACAAGGAAACATGGAGTAAAAGACATCATATTATAGTAACATGCATACCTGTTTTTATAGCAGTACAAGGAACAGGAGCTATATCTTGGAAGTGGCATACATGTCCTTCAATTAATAAATGGACACAGAAAATGCTGCATTTGTATATAATCAAATACTACTCTACCATTAAAAGGATAAATGAGTTGTTTGCAGGAAAATGGGTACACTTTGACATAATGTTAAGTGAAATTAGACACTCATGGTTCCACTTGTACGAAAAACTCAAAACATAAACACAGTAGTACCCCAATTTATAAACTTATTTTACAATATTGGGAAAGACGGCTGCATTTGTGTTTGTGTGGAGAAGACAGCCATGGTCGTATTTATAATCTTATGCAGAGTATGAAAATGGAAGCAGAATCTTGCCAAAAGCTTTTCTTGGAGAACTAAATTATAAACAGAAGAGAACTGAAGTTATTACTGTAAAGCACAGAATATATGATAAGATGAAATAGCGATATGGAATTTTTACACATGAGGGGATCAAGAAATAGAAGGGGAAGGAAGGAAAGAGAGGATACAAAAAATAAAAATTATGATGTGTTATATACATGTACTAAAAGTACCATTCTACTCTTGTTTGGTAATAGCAGTTTTGCCCAAAAACAAAGTCGCTCAACAAAAATTATATTCTCTAACCTTCACTGCAATTAAGTGTGGTCATAAAGGTATGTTTAAGCCAAAAAGATGTGACTAGAAGAAAATATGTATTAAAATTCTACATCATAATTTAAAAGAGAATTCGTATACTTTCCATATCCTATTTTCTTTTTCTTAATGATGAACTATAAGCCATGCCAATATGGCTATATCTATTTTACATCCTACCCAATATATATCATTCATTTAAAACAAAATAAAAGCTTCTATTTCTATTGATAATCTGCAGTGTTGATGCTTCCATTGCTCCTTTAGAAACCTAAACACTTGAGTATTTTTTAAATTACAGGAAAATTTTAAAGACAAATCTTAGAAGTAGTTACCAGAATACATTTAAATGTGAAGTATGTCAAAGCAAATAAATGAAGGATAAAATAAGTTAAATGGCTTTTAGCTAGATGTTCCCTCAAAACCACATGTGCTCAGAAGTGGGTTCTTCAGAGGTGGCTGGATCTTGGGTGTGTAAATGTGAATTAAAGGTGTGGTAATCAGATGAGTCCATGATTGGTTCTGGGTATGGGTAATGGGAAGCCCCACGCAGAATCTGTAGCATGGATGGACTATAGTAAGTCCCTGACTTAAGAACACTTTCACTGACAGGAACAGACCTCATATTACAAATATTCACCAAGGTGAACAAATCCTGGAATTAGCTCACCCTAACCCTAAATCACCATTTTAAGATAACTATAAAAGTAAAACTAGTCTATGTACAATATTTGTGTGTCTGGTATTTTTATGCTTTACAGTATATTTTTTTCAAAGGTATATAAGACTGGCTTTGAGGGCCAGCCTAGCTCAGCAGACTAAAGCCCCTGCTTAAGCAGAGTGCAGTGGCCTGGGTTCGATCCCCAGCATGCCTTGCTGGTTCCGCCCCTGGAGCGCATGGAGATAGCAATTAAGATAGCTGCATGGGTGTAATCCTAGTGCTTGGGAGACTGAAAACAGGAGAATCACTATGAGTCCAATCTATGCAGTGAGACCCTGTAGACTCTGTCCTAAATACATTAAAAAAAAAAAAGGACTGGTTCTGTTAGACTTAAGAACAAGTCCAACTTAAATGTTACCCCCCAAAAAAACTTATTTGTAGACTGGAGACTTACTGTATAAAGATGCAAGGTAAATTGGTTGCCTTTTCCTACTTACTCTACCAAGGACTATTTCTCCTCTCTTTGCCACCCTGCCTTCGAGCCAACTGACTGTAACTGAAATTTGCATGAACTATGAGTTAAAATAAACCTTTCCTCCTTTCTCCAACACTTCTGGATGTTGGGTATATTATCCCAGCAATAAGAAAGCAATTAAAACACATGCATACTTTCAAAAATACCTTACCTAAGCAAAAACATCCAAATGAGAAAAAAAAAAAAAAAAAACAAAAACAAAAACTGAACAACACTAACTGGTAGAAAAGAACAATAGCTTGAAATTGATATGGTTAAAGTCAGAGTAAGACCTTAGTTGAGAAGTGCCAAAGTGAAACCCACTGCTTAGCGAAAATATTCCTACCAAAACAAATAACAATGAAGAACATTATTTCAAAACTAGTGCAAGAGTATTTTAAATGGGGCTCTTTAAGCTGAAAGAAAGGTACACAAGGAGGTTAGAAAGAATGCAGGTAATTTTCACTTCCTAATGTGGTATTTCAATATGCTTTACAACTAAACAGATAATAGTAAACTCACAGTAGCAACTTTGCCTTTTCTCTTGACTGGAAGAAATGGGCAGGCTCTGACTTGGAGGTCTTTAATGGCAGCAGTCACTGTACTGTTTTCAAGGTCACCTTTACAGCAAATTTCACACTGTGTTGTAATGACTAAGGCAGGAGCATCATTACTTGTCATGTCTGCCACAAATACAATTTCTGGATTTTTAATAAGAATGTTAATCTCCCATTTCTCTGATTCCTGTACAGGTACTAAAATTGAAATAAAAATGTTTCAATACATAAATAATTGTTGTATAAAGAACTTCTGTATAACTATAAGAAAATGTTATTTCATTCTAAGTAAAAAGGTAAAATTAAAGACTCCCAGATCTGAAAGAAATCTACTACAACTCTCTATCCTAATTTTCCTTTTTGTGGTCCTAGAAATAGAACCTAAAACCCAGAGCATGCTAAAGACATACTCTACTATTAAGCTGCAACTCTGAATAAAGAAGTTATATACACTGAACATTTCAAGAGGGGTGGGGGACAAGTGAGGATAACTCCACTATTTAATAGCAAAGCTGGAACCTAATCTAGTGGTTTCCAACTCGCAAGCTGAAATTCTATTTATTATATCACAATAAATGAAACATATAAAAGCATTTTAGAAAAACTGTATGTCAGGTTAAAAGTTACAAAAATAAATAGAAAAAATTAATGAATGTTTAAATTAAAATATATTTATAAAAAAGGAGTGGTTGCTTCACTATTCCTTTTATTTTCTTATATCAGCAAATTTGTTAAAACTATCACCTACGAAGAAATAATTAATTATCCCAATGTAGGTCTCATAATTTCGAACCCCAAAAAGGTATTTGTACCTTCAAAAACCTACAAACTACATAACCTCCCAGAAAATACTAAGGTTTTCTATTTGCAGTGAGAAACTAAGATTTTAATTTATTATTGTATGCATGTTGATCTTATCTAACAGGCTAATCCAAGTAAAATGCTGATATAGCATTTAAATACTGCAGATACGAAATATTTTAGCTGATAACTAACCTTCTTCCTTTGTGGCCCACGTTTGAACACTGGTTTCTACAGTAGTGCCTGTGGTATAGGCCTCAAAAAATACATTTGCAACAGTCATCAGAAACTCCACACTTGCACAAATATACATTTCTTGAAAGACTGCATCAGTCACAGAACCATCTCTGACTCTCCTATACTTTACATCCATCATGTCCTTTTTGTCAAACCCAACAGTCAGGCCTATCATTCTGAAAAACACAATAATAATAAATCTTATATATGAGTAACATACAAACAACCAAATATATCAATAAAACTTAAAGACACTTAAGAAAAACTACTTTTCATTAACAAGTAAATATTCTTGAAGGCATGTCTTGGGTAATGGACTTATAAACATCTGGAGCATATCTGTTTTATAAATTAGAAAATATATATTTAGGAAAGTATTAAGAGTTTGAATGTCAGCATTTTTTCCCTCAACTTTTACATATTTCTCACTTAATTGCACTAATTCTATCTATTCAACCAATATATCAACTTCCCAGTAAGGCACATAAACCACAACATTTAAAATTTTATTTAAAATGAGTATCATGACTTGACTAAATTGAAGGTCTAAAGAACCCAAGATGTATTTAGAAACTGAAATGCAACCTTGGGAATAAGTTATATAAAATATATCAACTATTTCTCAGGTAGAAATTCAGAAGAACCAGGTGTGGTATATGACTATGATCTCAGCACTACGGAAGGCTGAGGCAGGAGTACTAAAAGTTCCAGTACTGCCTGAGAAACTTAGTGAGATTCTGACTCAAAAAAAAAATAAATGAATAAAATAAAAAAATAAAAAGAGCTGGAGATGTAGCTCATCGTGAAGTCTCTACATTCAATTTCCAGCACCACCAAAGAAACAAAATATAAACCTCATCGCAGAATACATACCTAGGAGTTGCTTTCTTGACATGAGGTCTTTTGTCATCTAAAATACAATTTTTTAATGAGAAAGAAGAAACTGTAGAGTCATCTGTATACATTTTTAAAGTACTTATAATATTTTCCAACTTAAACTCAGCAAGCTGTAGGGAAGGATCACGAACATCTGAAAAGGAAGCCTATCGAAGAGAAAACCATATAAAAATTACATCAAAAAGTCAAGTTTACAGTATATTTTATAATATGACCTACTACAAATTATTGAGTCTGCTCATAGGACACATCAAAATTTTCTATTTTCTCTCTTGTTTTTTGGTGCTGGGTAGAACCCAGGACCTTGTACATGGTAAGCCCACATGCTACTAATTAGCTACACTTCATGGCACAAGATTTTCTATTTTCAAAAGATTCTCTATAAAGAAAAAAATATATTA